ACAAGTGAATCTAAGAATCAAGTGAATAAATAATCTGATGAACAGAATGAACTGGTGATTATAATAGAATCAGGGACATAGAAAGGGAATGGACTGACTATTCTTGGGGGGGAAAGGGGTGTGGGAGATGCGGGAAGAGACTGGACAAAAATCGTGCACCTATGGATGAGGACAGTGGGTGGGGAGTGAGGGCGGAGGGTGGGGCGGGAACTGGGAGGAGGGGAGTTATGGGGGGGGGGGAAAGAGGAACAAATGTAATAATCTGAACAGTAAAGATTAAAAAAATAAATAAATAAATAAAAGGTAGAGTCGGGAATGAGATAGGTTCCCACTAAGAATTATTTGTTATAGAGTCAATTCTGTACATTGTAAGCTCTGCTATGTTTATTTCTTTTTACTGAAGAATCATCTTTATTAATGGAGACCTCTATCCTCACATATGAAGACACAAGTGTTCATAATTCAGGGCTTGATGCCTTCCTATAAGGGCACTAGTGCCATTCATGAGAATGACATGACAGCCTGTCATTCTCATTAATTCACACTCATTTCCATCCTGAACCAGATCATTCCAGTCATTCATTCTACTTGAAAGTTACTGAATGCTCACATGTGCCGGGAGTGATTCTAAGTTCAAAGATGGAACAGTTATGTAGAGTGTTTGGGGGGTGAGAGATGGGAGAAGAAATGAAAGTCAGTAATAGGCAATAAACAAGTGAAAGGAATTTTAGAGACAGGACAGGGAGTCTTAGGAAATAAGGGGTTTTCATGGGAGAGGAATGCATAAGTGGGGGCTTGGAGACACCAAAATGCTTACCTTACTTTTACAGAGGATAGAGAAATGTTACAGGAGGCAGGCATATTTTCACAGAGGATAAAGAAAAGTCATAAGATACCAGGAAGAGGGGAACATATTTTCATAAAGGATAGAAGAATGTTGCAAGATAAGGGGGAGGTAAGGAGGGGCACCACATGGGCTTTGACCTTTGAAGCTGATACTATGTAGCAGTGACCAATGAGGAAAGCATGGCATGAGGGTCCTAAATTAAGGAAGGGTCCAATTAGAAAAGGTCTTGTTCAGACAAAGAGCTACAGCCTTTACAAAGAGACTCAGCAGATTTTTAGATTTTTTTATTTTTCCCATTAGAGAGAGAGAGCGAGCAGGTTTTTTCTATTTAGGGACCCCTCCCCAGGGAGAGTTGTATACACTTACAATAAACTTCCACATTTTTATTAAAGAAATCTTTTAGTCCATGAATTTATTCTTCAACTTCGTAGGACAAAGACTCACAGAAGAAGAATCTGCACCCCGAACTCCACATTTCACAAAGAAACAAGCAACATATTTTTAATTTCAGACAAAGGTAAGTACAATGAAGAGGTTAAAACACGCTTCTCCCCCCATTCTGCCCCTTCTTCCTCGTCCCCACCTTATCATCTGTTAATGTTTTCTAACAACTTCTTCCACTCAATCCTGAATAAATCATTTCCTCCTTTTGTGGACCCACTGATCTCACCCCCACTTCTATCCTGTCACTTTACCGTATTTGTTTACCTGTCTTATCTTTCCCAAAGAGACTGTTAAGCTCCTGTAGAGTAAAGGTCAGATTTTTTTTTCATAATGATTTTTCAGTTGGAATTCCTGGCATATGTATTGGTTTTGCTTTACTATATAACATTTTCAATAAATTAACTGAAATTTAAAAAGCCACTAACGGTAGGCTCACATTGTACAACTTGAGGCTTAGTAGGAGTGACTATGCTGATGTGATCACAATATCATAAAGATTTTATGATATTCTCATCAAAACCATGATCTATTGTTTAATCTAGTAGCTTTTACACAGTGTACATTTTTTTAAAGTTACAGTTTAGAATTCACACTACTAAAGTGATGTCTGTCAGAAATTGAACTGAACAAGTATATAGTAAGAGTTAAGAGGCCAGGGGCACCAGAGAAAAGATATTATATTTCCCAGAACACACAGAACTCCCTTCTAGAGAGAGAGTTAGAGCAGCTAATTGTAATACTCAGATAGCAACATAGCACTGGCAAGTGACTAAACAATTTGAGGCAGCCTTCCAGTATATGAAAGTACACTGTGACCCCACATGGCTGCAGGCCATCTCTCTGAGGGCTCTAACCAGCTCAGTTTTTCATTCAGTGCCTCCTAGAGAACTACCTGCCCTAAGGTAGGCAGAGGGAAAACTCTCCATTGCAGTAATGAAGAGCTTCTAGGTGGTTAGGACTCATCTTCATGATAATAGATATAGTAGGACCAGAGCGCAAACCCACAGAAATGATTGCTTTGAACATTAATGAGAAATGCCTTATATCGTTGCCAAACTAGTTAGAGAAGAATCATGCCAAAAGCTGTATTACCCATTGGATATCACACTTGGGTTTTATTAAGAGTTACAGTCAAACCTCGATTCTCAAATGTCTCCCATCTCAAGCAATCTGACAACCCTTTCAGGCTGATACCTGTATGATCAGTCATGTGCTCTCAGGCAACAAAGGAGAGAATGTGTGTATATGAGTCAGTTTAGCACTGTTAAAGTCTCAGAATACTGTGATGTGAATATTTTTCTGTGTTTTTTGTTGTTGTTGCTGCTTTAATTATTATTAAATTTTCATTTTTTACTGTACATTTCCTTTCCTTTCTGTTAAATTTTCATTTACATTTTATATACTTTTTATGTGTTTATTTATAGATTAAACAGTGCATTAGGCACATACTATGTATAAGAAAGTTTAAAATGGAATTATTTGGAAGTCTGGAATGGACTAATTCAATTTACATTATTTCTAATGGGGAAAAAATTATGGTTTCTTGAACAGCCTTCCAGAATGAATTAAGTTTGAGAAACGAGGTTCTACTGTACTTCTAAAAAAAAATTACTCATTAGGAGGCCAGTCTATCCCTACAGGTCTGATGTGCTCCGGCAAACTCCCTGATGATTTTCCTCCAGCACAGGCAGTTCTAGGAACACAGCTTCACTCCTGAGTCTTTTTTTTCACCTTCAAAGAAAGGATCCAACAAAGCACAAGACAGTAACAAATCCAGTGGAGTGTACAAGAAGCATGAAGTCTCTGCTTGCAGAGTAACTAACAAACATCTGCTGTATTTTGTGGTCATAGACTTATTTTTTCAGTTAAGTTTAGGAAGTGAATAGTGAAAAGTATTTTCCATTTTTATTTTGCTAATGGAAAATCTGAACCAAAAAAGATGCTGAATCAGTGAATCTCAGAAGAAGAAACATGTTATTAGGGATACAGCAGTGGGCTTTGTCAAAATCGCTCTATGTGATTTCTTCATCAAGGATAGAAAATAGTTGACATAGATTAGTTGAAGAGGAAATTTGCATGAATAGAAGGTAAGTCCTGTCCTATCACTATGGTACCCATTGCTCCTAAAATTAGAAATAACTAGTGCTTATTGAGCACATACCATGTGTCAGCCAATATACTAGGTGTTTCATGTAATTATCTAATTTCATTTTCCTAATAATAGTACATAGTATCAATATCCCATTTTCACAGGGAAACTGAAGCTCAGAAATCTTGAATAATTAGTTCAAAGTCTTACAGATGGTAAATTAAAGAGACAGGATTAGAAACCAATGTGTCTGGCTTTTTACATTTGCATTCTTCCCAATGTATCAATTGCCTCGAGGATAATTAATTTCAAAGATCAAATGTCATCCCTCCACCATTTAAAAAATATTTAAATTATTGTTTAAGAATAAGACTTGACTCTACATTTTACTTCTGAGCTTTCAGGTTTTTTAAAACCCAAGTGTGATATCTAATGGGTAATACAGCTTTTAGTATGACTCTTCTCTAACTAGTTTGGCAATAATATAAGGCATTTTCTCATTAATGTTCAAAGCAATCATTTCTGGGGGTTTGCGCTCTGGTCCTTATATAGCCATTATCATGAAGATGAGTCCTAACCACCTAAGAATTCTTTTCAGTCAGAATTTCAAAGATTTAATTCTTTTAACTTAATCCGAACAACTAAATGCAAGCATATTTTTGATGAAAGAGACCAGATAAGTACAAGCTTATCCCATTGGTCGTTCAGGCCCCATTACAGTGTTTCAATCCAGAACGACGCTTCTGGTGGGATTATGAGAGCTCACACACAATGTGGTCAAAGAGGAAGAGACGGTTCTGAGGATCACATAACAGGTATGGCAGTGGATACTTAAAACATTGCACAATACAAACATTCAAATTAAGTTTCCTGGAATAAGTAACCTTCAAGAGAAAAGGGGGGGTGGAGAGAGGGTAGATGGGAAGGGACAGAGAAATTCAAGGCCTGAAACAGGGGGCATGTTATAATAACTGTGTCAAATTATCTCACGACCATCACAAACTAAACTGAAGTTATTTCCTCAAAAGTCATTCAACCCAAGCATGCTAAACATCTCTTACCATACTTGGATATTGTTTGATTCACTCTAAAGGAATGAACACTTAAGTGATTTTCAACAAATCCTGTTACACCATCCTGCTGACAAGTCTTTATTTTTCACAGACGTGATTGTAGTTTCATGCCCCTATTTAATCACAGTTTAGTGCAATTACCTAGACAGGTCTCATGGTGTGACACCTCACACCTATCTATTGAGATAAACTCTCCTTTATAGCTTTCTAAATTATTTCCTTTCTAGTGTTTTCCACTCCTTGAGTCAGATGGACAAGGGAGAAGGAAGGAGAGCAGGAAGCAGAAAAAATATTACTTTTATCATGAGGAAAAAAAATAGGAAGAATAATTCAGAATTGGCTTTTGAACTATTGAAGCACATAATCACACGTTCCAATAATTTATGAATTACATCTACTTTCATTTTATTTTTTCTTATTTTCCTCTTAGAGAGGAGGTAATATTCGATTTCCTCCTCTGCCTTAAGTGTTTTCTTTGCAAATGGAAGAGTAGGAGAAAAAAAGCTGGGAGGGCAGTAACCTGGGACAATTGATTGCTCTTGGTTACCTTGTAGTTTCTGGTTGTATTCGGTCCTGTCAGACTGGCTCCTCCTCAGGGTACCAGCGTGGTCCCCAGAAACACTGCTCTCAACCACAGTGTCAGTCTTCCTTCTCTCCAGCATGTAGAGCCGGGACCTTAAGAAGTTCAGGTTCTTTTTCTTGGTGCCCATGTTTCCTTTCCCAGTGGCTTCTTCCAGCTCCATCTGAGGCAAAGACATGCTTCAGAGGCTTGCAGGCAAAGGCTGGTTGCTAAAGTGCCTCAGGGCGAGGGTTAAAGCCACCAGAGTGACAAGTTTAGCTGCCTCCTTCTAACTAACCGGCTTCCCTCCAGGGCTACCTGGTTGTAACTGCCACCTGTGCAGGAGTCCCAGAGCCCCTCCCCTATGAGGTCATTCTTCTTTATACCTAGAATCCAACAGGGGAAGTTGCCACCTGTTACCTGAGAGACCTGCAGCACAAAGCTAGGCAAAGCAGGGACTACTCTGTCACATGCTCCTGGGGCAAACAAAAATCCCATTGTGTGGGGCTAGGGCTGGGGTGGGGGGAAGGAGAGTTGGGGGAAGGAACGAGAACAAGGTGAGGCAGGGAGCAAGGGAAGTATAGAGTGTAACCTGTAGCTGATGCGTTTCCTGTGTACCGATGGGTGTGTACAGGTGTCCTCAGGGCACTGTGGTGCTCTGCTGCCTGGAGGCAGACATGGGCTTATACATGACCTTTAGCGAGAGTGACCACAGAGTTAGTGAGAGTTTGCATTTTCATCACAACAGTATCACTTTTCAGGATCACTGTGCGCAGTCAGTCATGAACATCCATCCGGAGATTATGTACTAAAATATATACTTGCCAAACCCCCTGATCCGCATTCCTAAGGAAACAAGGATTTGAACTTGAGAGAGGTCTGTCGCAGGCACAGGAAGAAAAGAGAATGTTCAAAGAGGCTGCCAGAGCCTTTGGGATTTCTCATCTCCCCGTGCTGCCCCTGCCTGAAATTGGTCGATTCCTGGTCCCAGCCCTGTCCCTCTGGAGCCTGGTCCTTAGGAACACAAGCACTGCGTCAGGGTGTGACTTCTGTATAATCTTCTCCCCGTCCCTTTTGCAGGTGGAGTGACAAAAAAAGCAGCTCACCTTGGGAAAAGAAGAGGAAAAATGTTTGAAACTGAGAAGAGACATGTAGAAAGTAGAAAGTGTGGAGGGCAAAGACTGGGAGAGAGAAAGGCAAATAGTGATGGGCCTTTCATTAATTTTTTAGAGTTGTTTTTCCTTGTACTCACTGAGATTTCTCAAGGGAAAGGTTCTAAGAAGCTCTGGGGATGTGCTGAGTGGCTTGTATGCCCTCATTAAAGAAAAGAAAGACCCTAAGGAAGAAAGCAGGTTCGTTTTTTGTGGCAAGGGATGGCCAAAATTCAGCTTTGTGCTGCCCATTCTGAATCATGGTTAACTCTTGTTAGATGAGGTTTATAAATGAGGAAAAAGAGATAAAAACCACTTGCCAACTCTGGGCTGAATACAATTCACATAATTTCCTTTAAAGATAAATGAGAAATCTTCACCTAATTTAGAAACACCTAGATATAGCCTGGCATATTGAATGGCTTTTATTTAATACTAGAGGCCCGGTGCACAAAAATTTGTGCACTCGGGGGGGAGGAGGGTCCCTCAGCCCAGCCTGTGCCCTCTCACAGTCTGGGACCCCTTGGGAGATAACGACCTGCTGGCTTAGGCCTGCTCCTGGGTGGCAGAGCGCAGGCCCAATCCCTAGGTGCAGCCCCTGGTCAGGCTCAGAGCAGGGCCAATGGGGGAGTTGGGGCGCCACCTCCTGTCATGCACAGAGCAGGGAGATCTGGCGGTTGTGATGCCACCCTCAGTCACGCTCAGGGTAGGGCCGATTGGGGGGTTGGGGCACCGTCCCCTGTCACACTCAAGGCAGGGTCGATGGGGAGGTTGCGGTGCCACCCCCTGTCACACACAGAGCAGGGCCAATCAGGGGGTTGGGGCACTGCCCCCTGTCACTCACAGAGCAGGGCCAATCAGGGGTTGGGGCACTGCCCCCTGTCACGCACAGAGCAGGGCTGATCAGGGGGTTGGGGTGTCGCCACACTCAGGGCAGGGCCGATGGGGAGGTTATGGCTCTACCCCGTCACACACAGAGCAGGGCCCGTGGGGGGTGGGGGGGTGTTGGGGCGCCTCCCCCTGTCACACACAGAGCTGAAGGGCGATCAGGGGGTTTGGGCGCTGTCCCCTGTCACGCTGATCCCAGTGCCGGGAGGCCTCGCGGCTCTGCTAATCCCGATGCTGGGAGGCATATTACCCTTTTACTATATAGGGTAGAGGCCTGGTGCACGGGTAGGTGCCGGCTGGTTTGCCCTGAAGGGTGTCCTGGATCAGGGTGGGGGTCCCCACTGGGGTGCCTGGCCAGCCTGGGTGAGGGGATGATGGCTGTTTGCAGCTGGTCACACACCCTTCAGGGTGGGGGTCCCCACTGGGGTGCCTGGCTAGTCTGGGTGAGGGGCTGAGGGCTGTTTTTGGGCTGGGGGTGACTGAAGCTCCCAACTGCTCCTTTTTTTCTTTTTTTTTCTTTTTTTATTCTGGGCCAGCTTTAGCTTTGAGGCTTGGCTCCAGCTCTTAGGCCTCCGCTGCTGAAAGTAGGTTTCTGGCCTTTGCTTACAATGTTGCGATCCTGCTGGCTGAAGCCTGGCCGGCAGGTTTCTGGGGTTTTGTTTAGCTTCTATATTTGTTTTAGAGTTGCAGCTCAGAGGCCTGCAGTGGCAGGCGGGGAACGTTGGAGTCCTCTGTCACTGAAGCAAGCAAGCCTCATGTTAGTTTCAAGCTGCCTGGCTGCCGGCCGCCATCTTGGCTGGCAGTTAATTTGCAAATTGCCCCGATTAGCCAATGGGATGGGTAGCGGTCGTACGCTAATTACCATGTTTCTCTTTTATTAGATAGGACAATTGATCATCTTTTTAAAGCAAGCCCTTCCAAGTACATTTTTTTTAAATATATATTTTTTTTATTGATTTCAGAGAGGAAGTGAGAGGGAGAGAGCGAGAGAGAAACATCAATGATGAGAGAGAATCATTGATCAGCTGCCTCCTGGATGCCCCCTACTGGGGATCAATCCTACAACCCCCGCATGTCCCCTTGACTGGAATCGAACGTGGGACCTTTCAGTCCGCAGGTCGACGCTCTATCCACTGAGCCAAACCAGTTATGGCCCAAGTACATTTAATAAATACTTATAATGATGCACTAATACAGTGGGGCCTTGACTTACTAGTTTAATTCATTCTGTGACGGAGCTTGTAACTCAAATTATTTGTATGTCAGATCAAAAAGTGAACGAGTGAGACACGTGATGCTGGGCTGATGTTGTGGCGTTCACTGTGACGTTTGCTGCGCCAACTAGCAGTGGGGTATCTAAAACTGACTCATAACCCGAATTTTAGCTTGCAACTCAAAGCAAAAAATTGGCCGAGAGACGGCTCATATCTCGAAAAACTCGTTAGTCGGGACATTCGTAAGTCAAGGCTCCACTGTATATAAAACAAGCTTTCTAGATTCATATTTAAAATGTATAAATTGTGTTCTAATATTGTATCTACATATTTGTATACTAGAGGCCCAATGCACAAAATCCATGCAAAAGTAGGCCTTCCTTTCCTCAGTTGCCGGCACCGGCTTCCCTCTGGCACCCAGGACCTGGGCTTCCCTTGCAGCCCCAGCTTCCTCCAGAAGGTCGTCCAGAAGGACGTCTGGTCTAATTAGCATATTACACTTTTATTATCTCTATATATAAAACCCTAATATGCAAGTAGACCGAACAGCAGAACAACTGAACAACCAGTCACTGTGACATGTGCTGACCACCAGGGGGTGCCCGTGGAATATGGCAGGCGTTGGCAGCAGTCAGCAGAGCGTGGAACATAGTGGGCGTTGGCCATGGTGAGATGGTGAAGCAGGTGAGTGGGGGCACCAGATCAAGGTGGGGTGCTGGTCACTGTCATCCGGGTGAGCCTCTGGTGGTTACTGAAAATTCTTTGCTCCCACGTGCCACAATCCCGCCTGGTGCTCGCACCTGCTACTGGGACTGGCCCCCCTTGCACCCGCTGCCAGGCCTAGTGCTGGCCCCAATTGCTTGGCACCGTTAGCAAGTGTGAGCGGTGGCTGCTGGCCCTGATCACCCCTGAGGGCTTCTCCACCTCCCCCTGCTCCTGAGGGGCGATTGAGGCAGCAGCCACCACTTGCCGTCAGCACGGGTGCAAGTGAGGCCAGTGCTGTCAGTGCATGGGAGTGGTGACAGCGGGAGTGGGGCTGCCGGCAGACAGGGGACCAGGGGCTGCTGTGGGAGGGGCCAGGCAGGGGCATGGAGGATGGGCCAAGACCCGCCCCTGTGCCCACTGCAGCCTCACGGCCCACAGTTACTTTCAAGGTGCACAAATTCATGCACTGGGCTCCTAGTTATAGATAATATGCTTGTGTGCATTCTCCTGGTTTTAACAGACATACTATTAGACATAGCACTACTACAAATTGTACAATTAAAACTACAGGACTGTCCTGTCCCAGTGGCTCAGTTGGTTGGAGTATCATTTGGTACATCAAAATGTTGCAGCTTTGATTCCCAGTCAGGGCACATACCTGAGTCGCAGGATAAATCCCTGGTCGGGGCACATACAGGAGGCAACTGATAGATGTTTCTGTCTCAAATCAATGTTTCTCTCTCTCTCTCTCTTTCCCTTCCTTTCACTTTCTAAAATTAATAAACATTTCCTAAGGTGAGCATACAAAAAAAACAACAAAAACTACAGGATTTATAGGAAATATGCAGTTAGACACACACAGCACTCAAAAACTTTGTCAGTGATTCATAAGAAGCAGATAGAAAATGTACAAAAACATTATAGCATAGCTTTACATGTGGTAGATGGTTAAGAAATACATAAATATTATAATAAATGTAAAAGTTTAACTTGAAAAAGAACTGAAGGTTCAAAAAATAAAATTAAAACGTTAAAATTTAAAAAAAGAAGTCATAGGATCATAGCCTATGAGTGAAGTGATAGCAGAAGAGAGATTTAAAATCAGATGGAAAGGTACACTGCCAGCAGTGAGCAGGTGTGGCTGGGGCCACAAGCATTAAACTGAAGTCACTGATCACTTTAAGGGACATACATGTGTGAGTTTTGTGTACTTCTTTGTGGCTCAGGGCATCTGGGTAGTTTTCTGCATTCACCTAGTGTTTCAAGTACATGAAATCACACATAAGCAAATAT